TGTTACGTCGAATGGAGCTGGAATCAGTGGTGGCTGAAAAAAGATGTCTCACGGATTACGTACGACAACTAAGCTGAAGCTGTTAATTGCCGGTGCACTGCGGAAAGTCAAAGCCTCTTGTTCAAAGACAAACTCCATATATTGTGGGTAGTGGCGTTCAGTAACGAAGCTGTAGTCGGCATGTGACAACCCAGTGGAAAAGCAAGCAAAGAAAAACCATGGAGAAGCACCATAAGGACCCCCTTGGCAGCCTCACTTAAAAGTTATCCGGACCTCCAGGTTTCATTTCAGAAAATCGGTATCCCAGTGCCTACTTGTACAAGGAAGGACGCTTACGAATGGCTACTGCGTTTGATATAGATCATTTACATTTTACAATTGAATCAACAAAACAAGTAAAGCGAGAAAGAAACTTAACGGAGCACCTTATGTACCGGTGAGCCTAATACCCCAAGAAATAGAGTAGAACCTCACTACTGTCCATACGTTTTGAGCGGGGATAAAAGTAGTGAGGACCCGCTGGCCCATTTTGGAGAAAAGAACTGGCATCCCACCTGAATTGATAGACTCCTGGCTTTCTCCCAGTCCACACCATCGAACCATTTTCGGGAGCAAATATCCACGCCTCGTTTTGACGGGTCACGATCCAGAAGTGATAAGATTAGATCTCTGAAGAATGGTTGTCTCAGATGGAATAAATAAATTTTCGACAGTGAGAACTCTTGCCATCAACATTCCATCATCATCGGTAAACTGCGATCATCATCGCTGAACTAGGTAGGACGTGAAATACCAAAGCACACAGTCATTAGCTCCGCAAACGATAGGGCGGTGACGGGACGCGTATTGGAGCGCAGCCAGAGCGGCCGTCTTCCAAGAATGACGCCATGGTGAGTTCGTTCGCTGCAGTTGGTGGGAAATCTGCCCTGGCTACCATCCAAGTCAGGGCAGATCCACAAGTTACACGCGTTTGAAGGGATCGGGCCTGTAAGTTATCGTATCCACAACTGATCGAAGGGCGAAAGTGTTGACGCAGTTGGACATTTAGCTACATGCCATGGCTGCCACCCAATCTTCTATTGTTAGCCCGATTCTTCATCACAGAGATGACCCTGACCCAAATTCATAACCCTAAGTTGAAGCATATTTTTTTTTATCGGCTGTGAACGATCCCCATCTACCTCTAGTAAGGTTGTCAGAACATCTCCTTCTCAAGGGTTTTCGGTTGTGCAGAAAGGCAGCAGAGGGCTGAGTTGGTCAAGGTTCTCTCTAATAGTCTCTCCCTAAAACGAAGGCCATTGCCGCGCGCGCTTAAAAATAGTCGCCCACCTATGGTAAATAGTGCATTTATATTTTGAAATGAACAAAAACTGAAACGAACTTTGAATGGGAGGAAAAGCTCAGAATAAGAGAGCTCAACTTGCTGCGTCTTACATCCCGAAGAGAGGAAGGCGTGATTACGATTTCATTTGAAACGGCGGCTGCGCTTTTGATGGGATATTGTCTTTTCAGGAAGAGTGCATTCCTTCTAGCACAAGAATGATGAAAGTTGATCTCAAATGGTGGGATCTAGCACGAATACTACTTTCATCTAAAATTGTAGTGGCATTGAAGGCAATGTTTCCTACACTTGCGAGGGACAGAAAATGTAAATGTCAGCGCTCTTATGCTCCCAGTGGAATCTAGTACCAATCTATCGCCCCCAGAGGGCAAAAGGCTTAGTTGTCCTGGGCGCGCCTGACCTGGGATTCGACTCCGGTTCGGATAAGTGGTTTACTAGCCGCTCCACTGTTTCCGCCTCTAAAGAGCATATCCTTCGACACCCTATGCCATGCTCGACTGGACTACAACGCCCACTCCATCTCTGGGACACGGAACTTTGATAAGTCGCCGCACAGGGTCTTCACTCTCAAATGAGAGGGAGTATGGATAGCGCTCAAATCACGCACAGCAATGACCTCTTCCTACGCACTCATATGGGCACCTCAATGTCTTACTCTTTGGAACGTAAACTCAAGAGAACTTTTCTATCATTTCAACCCCACGACACTCAATACGATGGAAAATAAGCGTGGTTGCAAGGAACTCTTTTCTCACAAGCAGGAAGGGACGAACCGAGCAGAATGATCGAAGTCGTCCGGAAAAGTGACGTCCCCTTGCCGAATGGCTTCGAATACCATTTCTGTGCTGTCACCGCAGAATGGCGGCTGGCCGTGAAGAAGTTCGAAAATAAGAACACCTAGGGACCACCTAAATCAAGAATCGTAAGTACTTCACATACGGCTCATATAAAAGGCGTAAGACCGCAAAGGCAAGAGATCCTGAGAAAACTTTTACCAGTCCACAGCGATACCGTAACCTTTCTTCATGATCACTTCAGGTGCAATATATTCGGCAGTACCACACACAGTGTAGGTCCTTGAAACAGAGAACATCTCCTCTATGAAGTCTGCTATCGAGGTGAAAGTCATCGGTGAACTCACTTTCCCTTAAGAAGCTTGGCAAGACCAAAATCAGCGAGTTTGACGTGACCGTTTTTGGACAGGAGCAGATTTTCAGGTTTGAGATCGCGGTATACCTGAACGAATTGACATCGCTGTGCTTCTTTACAGCCTGGACGCTAGAGCTCAGACTCATCGAAAATACAGCTGTCACCCGATTTGGTTACACAGTACGAACAGCTTAATTCCAAGCTTCCAGCCAAGTTTCAAGAAAAAGAAAAATACATCATTCCAACGCGCTCTTTTGTTTTACGGACAGCCGTCACGACAATTTCAATGGACCTGTACCCTCTCTGAATACCTCCGCGGGGACAGATGTGGTTACAGTCTACAGGGGGGGGCAAAAAAAGACACTTCGACCGAGTCACATATCAGCAAAGTTTTCGCAGCCCAGACAGAGGACGTGGATACGAGTACCAGGGCGGAAGATACCCAAGATGTTCCTCTATAAGCAGGAGCTGGCTCTCGCCCATCACTATCTCCAATCGCAGAAGGGTCTGGAGAAAGTCTATGTACTGGCGTCACCTCCAAACAGCTGCGAAACTTCTAGTGTGGAGTCACCCATGGGTAGCTACCTGGAGACTAGTACTCTCAATCTGGAAGACCTCCAACATCGAGCAGCTTTGACAACGTAGCATTGGGTGCCACCACGTGGAATCGAAGGGCGTTGGAGAAACTCTCGCCTACTTGGAATGGAAGGGGGCTGAGTACCTAAAGAAGATGGAATATCCAAGTAGGTCACCTGACCTGAATCCCCTCAATTACCCGGTTCGGGCGGAGTTCAATAGGGTGGTCTACGGTGGCGGAGAAATCGACTATC